GCGCCCGGTGTGAGTTTAAGCCACCGGGTCCAGGACGCGAACCGCGGTCGACTACGTGGGAGTCCAGCGACATAGCCATTATGCTAACTGTTGGTACCAACAAGGGCTATCTCTTGATAATTTGCATCCAGCCTCAAACTTGGGATGACCAAGACAATGCTAATTTGCTTTCTGTCATTTTATCTATTAGAATTTGAGTTCAGGGAACCAGCAGTTAGCGTAATGGCTATGTCGCTGGACTCCCACGTAGTCGACCGTGGTTCGCGTCCCGGACCCGGTGGCTTAAAACTCACGCCGGGCACGTGTGCGTGCGTGCCCAAGATCCCGAGAGGAGAATGGAGGAGAAGGGATTGCGGCGTGACCATCCCCCCTGGGGGGGTGATTTCTCGCTTTCTGTCTCTATGTCTCTCTCTGTCTGTCTGGCGAGCGCACGCACCCTATAGCGAAAAAACCTCTCCCAAAAAAAAAAAAAAAGAATTTGAGTTCAAGTAACAGTGGCTTTTTAAAATTGGAGGCTGGTTTTTCTCTCAAACACAACATGTGGAGTTAGAACTGGTACAGGAGCTCCATAGTGCCAACAGCACTGGCCCCTTATGGCCTTCTGTAGAGCCATCCTTAAACGGTGGCTTCTGGAGCCAGCAGCTGGTGTGGTGGCTAAGGTGCTGGATCCCATATAGCCAACTCCACAGTTCAAGTCCCAGACCCAGAGGCTTTAAAAACATGCCAGGCATGTCTGTGTGTGTGCCCAAAGTCCTGAGAAGAGAAAGGAGGAGAAGGGATTGTGGTGTACCCATCCTCCCTAGGAGGTGACTTCTCACTTTCCCTCTCTCTTTGTCTCTGCCTCTCTCTAACAAGACCACATGCCCTATAGCAAAAGCCTAAAAAAAACTTTTTTTTTAACAAGTGGTGCTTCTGCCTCAAGGTTGCCTTGTGGTCACAAAATGGTTTCTGGAACTCCAACTATTACATCCACGTTCTAGGCAGGAAGAAAGGGGACCGGGAGGAAAAGCCATCAGGCACCTCTGCACAGGCCAGTGCTGGCCCTGGTGGCAGAGCAAGGGTGACCCAAAGGATCGGAGCAGGATTGAATTTGGATGTGGATGAGGACAGGTCAGATGGTTTCTGTCTCTTTCTCTCTCAGGCATCTGCGGCTCTTGTGCCATGAACATCAACGGAGGCAACACTCTCGCTTGCACCCGCAGGATCGACACCAACCTCAATAAAGTCTCAAAAATCTACCCTCTCCCACATATGTACGTGATAAAGGATCTTGTTCCTGTGAGTCTCTGCCCCTCTTCTGTTTCATTTATGTATATATTTATATGTAGTATTTAAAGCTATTTTTCTAGTTATATGGTAGAATTTGATGGGGCTGTCTTCCTATATTACGGCAGAAAGAGAACCACAGAGTCATTTGGAGGGTTAAGAGAATCTCCAGAGCCAGGGACCAGCAGATGGCATAATGGTTATGTCACTGGACTCCCATGTAGTCGACTGTGGTTCAAGTCCTGGACCTGGAGACTTAAAACTCACACCAGACGTGTGTATATGTGTGTCCAAGATCCCGAGAGGAGAGTGGATGAGAAAGGATCGTGGCATGGTCATCCCCCCTAGGGGGTGATTTCTTGTTTTCTGTCTCTCCAGTGAATGAACGTGCCGAATAGCAAAAATATCTCTTAAAATTTTTTTAAAAAGAAAGAAACTCTCCAGAGCTGAAATGTTGTGGCCTGTCTGAGTTTAATTAAGGAATTTGAGTAGTGGGAGGTAAATACCTAGAAAATCCTCCAGGAGCTCACTCGGTGAGGTTTGTTCGGGAATAACGGGCATAGAATTTTAGAGTTGGAGCAGTCCCAGAAGTGGAGAATTTGGCCATAACTACAAAGAATCCATGTGGAAATGCCAACGGGGAAAGCAACCATTGTTAATGATTTTGACTTTAATTGCACCTCCCCATACTTGGCCACCTCCCCCAATTTGAGTTTGCAAGGGCAGACAGGGGAGAAAGGACTTGGGGGTTGGGAAGTTTCCTCGGTGGGTGAGGGAGAGATTTCCTAACCGTGCTTAACATTGTGAAGAGTTCTGCTTTTATAATCTTTGTATTCATGTCCAAGGACAACTGTCTGACTTCATCTGTCAGAGGGCAGGAGAGTAGACAGTTGTCCAAGAGGTGGGATAAATGAAAGGCTGAGAGGTGATGATAGAATCTGACCCTTCTCTTCTTCCTCCCTTAACCCCAGGATTTGAGCAACTTCTATGCGCAGTACAAATCCATTGAGCCTTACTTGAAGAAGAAGGACGAGTCCCAGGGAGGCAAGCAGCAGTATCTGCAGTCCATAGAAGAGCGTGAGAAACTGGTCATTAGTCACTGTTTCTTGTCTTAAGAATTTATTGCTAAGAGTGTGGCTTAAGAGGGGAACCAGCATGAGATGACGCGGACGATTTAATGTATCCTGGAAAGGATCTTTAAGGGCATCTGGGATTCCCGTCCTCTCAGGGCCAGGTGGGTAGTGTGAACTTGTGAAGGGCCCAGAGTAGACCAAGGAGCTAGAGCATCCATGCCCTGCCTAGAGGAGCAGGCTGTTGCCACTTTGCCAGGCGTTTACCTTTTTGAAACGAACCAGTGCATGAATTGCCTGGTCTTTAAAAGTGGACAGTTGGGACCAACAGATGGCGTAATGGCTGCATCGCTGGACTGACTGCACTTCTGAGTCCCAGACCCAGCGGCTTGAAACTCATGCCGGGCGCATGTGCATGCCCGAGATCCCAAGAGGAGAATGGAAGAGAAGGAAATGCAGTGTGGCCATCCCCCCCGGGGGGCGGGTGATTTCTCACTTTCTGTATCTCTGTCTCTCTGGTGAGTGCACACACCCTATAGCAAAAATCACTTAAAAAAAACATAGGGGCCAGCAGATGGCATAATGGCTATGTCATTGGACTCCCATGTAGTTGGCTGCAGTTTGAGTCCTGGACCCGGTGGCTTAAACTCACACGCGCGTGTGCGTGCATGCCCAAGATCCCGAGAGGAGAAGAGGAGAATGGAGAAGGGATTGCAGCGTGGCCATCCCCCTGGGGGGTGATTTCTCACTTTTTGTCTCTGTCTCTCTCTGTCTGTCTGGCGAGCGCATGCGCCCATAGGAAAAACCACCAAAAAAAAAAAAAAAAAAAAACCTCTCAAAAAAAAACAAATAAAAAATAGTAAAAGTAGACCACTAAATTAGAGCTGTTTGGTCCCTGTGGGCACAATGAGGCACATACGCTGGCCATTTGCAGCTTCCCTCCACCTGTTTACAGATGACGGGGAAACGTTAATGGCAGAACCAGGTCTAGAACCTTGACGTTCTTTCCTAACACCACCCTTCAGTGACTGTCGTGTGCGCTTGTCAATGGCCGCCTCACTGCCTTCGAGCTCCTATTCCTGTAGTGGCTATAACATCTTTTTTTTTTTTTTTTTTTTGAGAGGTTTTTTTGCTATAGGGCACGTGCGCTCGCCAGACAGACAGAGACATAGAGACAGAAAGCGAGAAATCACCTCCCAGAGGGGATGGTCATGCCGCAATCCCTTCTCCTCCATTCTCCTCTTGGGATCTTGGGCACGCACGCACCCGCGCCTGGTGTGAGTTTTAAGCCACCGGGTCCAGGACGCGAACCTCAGTTGACTACGTGGGAGTCCAGCGACATAGCCATTACGCTAACTGCTGGTTCCCAGTGGCTATAACATCTTAAAGTGGGGACGACATCATCACGTTTTCAGTCTCTTTTTACTTCTACACTGCCGCCTCTGAGAAGTCTCCGACTTGCATGCCTACTCCCTGAGCTCACAGAGAGGAAGAAAACCAGACGGAGTTGGAGCCCCACCGGTGTGTCTGCAGGGGCCAAGGGCACACTGCCCTTCATACTGCATTTGTCCTAAGAGGGGTTCACATGCCTTGTTTAGCGGGCCAAGCGTACCTCAAGAGCAGGGGCCATGTCTTTCCTTGCCAGGTCTCTAGGCCCCCAGTGTGTGTTATTTTATCAGTAAGTATTAGTTGTGTAAATGAATTCTAGCTTTTAGGTCTTGGTGAATACTGGGCCTCCTTCCCACTTACCCATAAAACTTTAAGAAAGGGGAGTTTGAGTAAGTGTGTCAGCCTGCCAGCGAGATGAGGAGGGTCAGCACAGGAAGGTGCAAGTCAGGGCAGGCGTCTGGCGCCTCCTCCCGACACTTTTTTTTTTTTAGAGGTTTTTTTCTGAGAGGTTTTTGCTATAGAGTGTGTGCGTTTGCCAGAAAGACAGAGAGAGACAGAAAGTGAGAAATCACCCCCCAGGGAGGATGGTCACGTTGCAATCCCTTCTCCATTATCCTCTTGGGATCTTGGGCGTGCATGCCCACGCGCCCAGCATGAGTTTAAGCCACTGGGTCTGGGACTCAAACCGTGGTTGACTACATGTGAGTCCAGAAACAGCCATTATGCCATGTGCTGGTCCCGTCCCCTCCTAACACTCTTGTTCTCAGCCCATCGCACTCTGCCTGTTTCTTTTTTCATCTTTACATGAAAGGCACTTGCACTCACCAGAGAGACACAGGCGGGGCAGCAGTGAGAAAGCACCCACTACAGGGCATGGTTGCGCCATAATCCCTTTTCCTCCACTTCTCCCTCCTTTGGAGGTTGTGGGTGTGCATGCATGCACACCTGGTGTGTTTTTCAAGCTACCAGGCCCACGACTTGAACTGTGCAGTTTACCACGTGAGAATCAGCCACCTTAACCATGAGGCCACAGGCTGGGCCATCTCTCACCCTGTTTCTGACTCCCAGAAAGTCTGCTGTATTCCGAGTCCAGGCTGGAACCAACTACTG